AAAAACCAAAACAACAACAAAAAACTTTGTGTAAATGGCATTGTAGACTTGGGCAATGAGGGATGGTCCTGGGTGATCAATGGGTCACTGGTTGATCTACTCTTACTGACCTATGGTATTTCCCTGTATGGATATACCAGGATCCCCTGTATCTATTCTTTTTTTTTTTTTTTTTTTTTTTTGAGATGGAGTTCCGCTCTTGTTACCCAGGCTGGAGTGCAATGGCGCGATCTCGGCTCCCGGCAAACTCCGCCTCCCGGGTTCAGCTAATTCTCCTGCCTCAGCCTCCTGTGTAGCTGGGATTACAGGCACGCGCCACCATGCCCAGCTAATTTTTTGTATTTTTGGTAGAGACGGGGTTTCACAATGTTGACCAGGATGGTCTCGATCTCTTGACCTTGTGATCCACCCGCCTCGGCCTCCCAAAGTGCTGGGATTACAGGCTTGAGCCACTGCGCCCGGCCCCCACCCCCACCCCCGTATCCATTCTTCAGGTGATGGACACAGAGACCATTTCCAATTTCTCACTGTTACAAACACTACAGCAAGCATTCTTGGGTTTATCTCTTTATTCCAAGTCGAAGAGTTTCTCTACAGAGTACATCCACCCACTAGTAGAAGGACTGCAGTTCATGCACACTGATATGAGTTTTCCAGTTGAGGTTTTTTGTTTGTTTGGGTTTTTTTTTTCCAAGACAGTAGTCTCTCTTTGTCCCCAGGCTGGTGTACAGTGGTGCAATCTTGGCTCACTTCAACCTCTGCCTCCTGGGTTCAAGAAATTCTCCTGCCTTAGCCTTCCAAGTAGCTGGGATTACAGGCACTCACCACCACACTCAGCTAATTTAGCTGAGATTTTATTTATTTATTTATTTATTTATTTAATTATTATTATTATTATTATTATTATTTTTTTTTTTTTGAGACGGAGTTTCGCTCTTGTTACCCAGGCTGGAGTGCAATGGTGCGATCTCGGCTCACCGCAACCTCCGCCTCCCGGGTTCAAGCAATTCTCCTGCCTCAGCCTCCTGAGTAGCTGGGATTACAGGCACACGCCACCATGCCCAGCTAATTTTTTGTATTTTTAGTAGAGACGGGGTTTCACCAAGTTGACCAGGATGGTCTCGATCTCTCGACCTTGTGATCCACCCGCCTCGGCCTCCCAAAGTGGTGGGATTACAAGCTTGAGCCACCGCGCCCGGCCAATTATTATTTTTTAAAGACGGGGTTTCACCATGTTGGTCAGGCTGGTCTTGAACTCCTGACCTCAGGTGATTCGCCTGCCTTGGCCTCCAAAGTGCTTGGATTACAGGCGTGAGCCACCACGCCCAGCCTATTTATTAATTAATTATTATTGTTATTATTTTTAGATGGAGTCTTGTTCTGTCACCTAGGCTGGAGTGCAGTGGCGTGATCTTGGCTCACTGCAAACTCCGTCTCCCTGGTTCAAGCAATTCTTCTGCCTCAGCCTCCTGAGTAGCTGGGATTACAGGTGCACCACCATGCCCAGCTAATTTTTGTATTTTTAGTAGAGATGGGGTTTTACCATGTTGGTCAGGCTGTTCTTGAACTCCTGACCTCGTGATCCACCAGCCTCGGCCTCCCAAAGTGCTGGGATTACAGGCCTGAGCCATGGCGCCCGGCGTAGCTGAGATTTTTATGGAGTCCTTTATGTTTACCATTTCCCCTCCCTGGGTAAGGCTGCTTTTCTCTTCGGGAGCTGGTCACCTGCCTCTCCCCACTGATGACCAGTGACCTGCACCTTGGTCTGGTGAGGCCACTTCTGTCCACCTGTGTCTCCTCCGGCTGCTGCATGGCAAGTCCCCAGGCCGATTCCCTTCTGCCGGCATGGTCCTAGCCAAAGTGATGTTCCTGAGAAAGGTGTGGTCGACTGTAGCTGTAGCAATGCCTGGGTCAGGGGGTATTTCAGAGCTCGGAAGAGATTACGGAGGTAAAGCACAGGGCTCCGGGTAGTCCTTGTTGGAAAGAAATAGAATGAACCAGGTGGGAAGCTGGAAGCCAAACAAGTGTGTGGTCTTGGTTTTTTGTTTTTTTTTTTCTTGTTTTTTTCTTTTGAGACAGAGTTTCGCTCTTATTACCCAGGCTGGAGTGCAATGGCGCGATCTCCGCTCACCGCAACCTCCGCCTCCTGGGTTCAGGCAATTCTTCTGCCTCAGCCTCCTGAGTAGCTGGGATTACAGGCACGCGCCACCATGCCCAGCTAATTTTTTGTATTTTTAGTAGAGACGGGGTTTCATCATGTTGACCAGGATGGTCTCGATCTCTTGACCTCGTGATCCACCCGCCTCGGCCTCCCAAAGTGCTGGGATTACAGGCTTGAGCCACCGCGCCTGGCCGGTCTTTGTTTTTTCTTTATGAGATGGAGTCTTGCTCTGTTGCCCAGGCTGGAGTGCAGTGGCGCAATCTCGGCTCACTGCAACCTTCGCCTCACTGCAACCTCTGCCTCCTGGGTTCAGGCGATTCTTCTGCCTCAGCCTCCAGAGTAGCTGGGACTACAGGTGCACGTCACCACACCCAACTAGTTTTTGTATTTTTAGTAGAGAAGGGTGGTCTCTGGACCAGGCTGGTCTCGAACTCCTGACCACATGATCCACCCACCTCGGCCTCCCAAAGTGCTGGGATTACAGGCATGAGCCACCGCACCCAGCTGGTCTTTGTTTTATAGATGGAAACCTAAAGCCCAGAGATGGAAAGTCACTTCCTCAAAGTCATGAAGCAACATAGAAACTGTTAGCTTCATTCTCATTGGTTGGTCATTCATACATTCATTCAGTACATATAAACAAAGTGCCTAGGTCATGCATGGTGGCTCACCCCTGTAAATCCCAGCACTTTGGGAGGCCGAGGGTGGTGGATCATCTGAGGTCAGGAGTTGGAGATCAGCCTCACCAACATGGTGAAATTCCGTCTCAACTAAAAACAAACAAAAAAAGTTAGTTGGGTGTGGTGTCGCATGCCTGTAATTCTATCTACTGAGACAGGAGAATCGCTTGAACCTGGGAAATGGAGGTTGCAGTGAGCCGAGATCGCACCACTGCAGTCCAGGTTGGGCAACAAGAGCGAACTCTGTCTTAAAAAAAAAAAACCCAAAACACAAAAAACTCCCCCCAAATTAGCTGGGGATGGTGGTGCCCCTGTAATCCCAGCTACTCAGGAGGCTGAGGCCGGACAGTCGTTTGAACCTGAGAGGCGGAGGCTACAGTGAGCCGAAATCACTCCACTGCACTCCAGCCTGCGTGACAGAGCAATACTCCGTCTCAAACACACTGACACAGACACACACACACCCCCACCAAAAACAAAGCACCTATTCTGTGCCAAGTATTGTTTAAGGGCCAATTTTTTTTTTTTTTTTTTTTTTTTTGAGACTGAGTTTAGCTCTTGAGGCCCAGGCTGGAGTGCAAGGGCGCGATCTCGGCTCACCGCAACCTCTGCTTCCCAGGTTGAAGCGATTCTCCTGCCTCAGCCTCCCGAGTATCTGGGATTGCAGGCATGCGCCACCACCCCCAGCTAAATTTGTATTTTTTGTTAGTAGAGACGGGGTTTCTCCATGTTGGTCAGGCTGGTCTCGAACTCTCGACCTCAGGTGATCCACCCGCCTCAGCCTCCCAAAATGCTGGGATTTACAGGCATGAGCCACCGTGCCCGGCCAGGCCCCAAGATCTATAGCTACACAGTGGACCGCATGTCTGACGGCTATCCTATAAAATTATAATACCCAATTTTTACGGTACCTTTTCTATGTGCAGACACACAAGCGCCTACATTGTGTAACCGGACGGTAACGTGCTGCACCGCTGTGTGGCCCAGGAGCCCCGGGCCACCTTCCAGCCCAGGTGTCAGCAGCCCTGCCACGTAGGTGTGAGTGAGTGAGTGGCTGTTGGCAGGATGACGACATCGCCTGAGCACGCTGCTCAGATGGTATCATTGTGGTTAAGCGAACGATGGCTGTGGCGAAACAAACAAACAAGCAAACAAAGACCGCCTGTTCTGAGTGCGGAGCTTTATTATTCTTGGCGGTAATTATGATGAATTGTTAGCTACGTTTGCCTCCAGGGTAGAGGTGGAGAGGTGATCCCAATTAGGGGGTGCCCCAGAGACAGCGCTTGTCTCCAAAGCCCCCACTCCTCCCTCAGCCTCCCCTCCATCCGACCCCGTTCATATCGCTGGAAAGTCCCACAGAGTTCCTGTGGATACTCCCAAAACGAAACCGCGTCAACGGGGAGGGAGGGAAAGAGACAGCGGTCTGGGAGGGAGAGAGACTGAGGAGCCCTTTGTAGCCAGGTAGAGCTGTCAATAAAGTTTTGTCGCCTTGGCAACCGCAGGCCTCGCGGGGCGGGACGGGAGAGGGCCGGCGGTGCGCGCGCATTCCCCGCCTCCCTCCCGCCCCGCTCTGGCTTTCTCCCTCCTGCGGCTGGAGCTTTCCTCTGGGAAAGAGAATAGGGAGGCCGAGACTCTATGGTGATGGACAGAGGCCACAGCTAATGGAAAGAGGAGCTGTCCCAATGCCAGCCAATCACATACGAGTACCGGAGTTGGCAGAGCCCGCCCTCTCTCCACTTGGACCTGAATAACCCGACCCAATCCAAATTTCGCCCGGAGCGACTGCGCTTTCGGCCAATGACTGCGTCCATTTCGGGTCGCGGTGGGACAGGAGGCGGGACAAGTCTCTAGGGCAGCGGCTGAAGGACAGCGATGTGAACCACTGGCAAGAGTTCGCGGCGTTTGACGGCAGCGGGGGCGTGGCGGGTTTTTATATGGGCACTGACGAGAGCCGGGCGGGGAGGGGAAAAGTAGGGCTTGGCCAATGAGAGCGCCGTGAGCTTCATAGCAACGGAGAAGTGGCGGCGGCTTTGGCCAATAGATAGCCTTAGTGGCCTTGGCGGGGCGGGCCCAGCGATCAGATGGGAGGTGCGGCGACAGTGTTTGACGAGAGCTGAAGGAGGCAGTGGGAGGTGGTGGTGGTGGTGGTGGTGGTGGTGGCAGCGGCGGCGGCGGCGGCGGCGCGGGCGTCTGAGGAGGAGGAGAAGCGGGTGAGGGGCGGCGCGGGGCCCGACCTCTGAGCCCCCCTGACGGCCCCAGCCCCGCGCCGCCTTGGCTTCCAGTTGCCCCCTGCCCCGGCTGCCCCCCACCCCGCCCGGCCCCTCCTCGTGTCCAGGCGCCCACGTCTCCTGTCCCCTCGCCAGGCCTCGGGCTCCGCAGCATCACAGCCTCCTCCCTGTGCTTCCTCACCCGGGCCTCTGCCTGACCCCCTTTTCACGTCCACCGCCCTCCCTGCACCCCCAGGCCGCCTCCTGCACCTCCCAGGGCCTGTCCCTGATCTCACCCTCCAGGCCTCTTCCTGCACCCTCAGGGCCCTCCCTGCACCCCCAGGCCGCCTCCTGCACCCTCAGGGCTTCCCTGACCCCTCTCTCACCCCTGGGACCTCCCTGCACCCCCAGGGCCAATCCCTGCCCTCCCCTCACCCTCCAGGCCTCCTCCTGCCCTCTCTAGGTCTCTCTGTCCCTCTCCTCGTTCTCCCTGGACCCTGAGGTCGGCCTCTGACCCTCCAGGTCCCTTGCCCTGGGCTTCCACCGCCTGCCCAGGCCCTTCCCTAGGGTCCCTCAGGACCCCACCGAGCCCTGTCTGGTTCCCTGGGTCTCTGTCCGCCCTCTCAGGGCCCTCACCCACTGGCCTAGGCACTTTGCCGTCCCTGGACTGCCCTCCTCCCCACGGGTCCCCCGTTTGGCTCCTCCCTGGGTCCCTAGGCCTTCCCCCGGCTCTGTCCTTCCTGGCACCTCTGAGCACCCCCAGGCCCGGCTGCAGCCTTCTCCCTCCCACGGTCCCCTGCCGTCCCCACCAGTGTGCGTCTCTGCCCTTGCCCCCTGCCTCCTTTCCAGCTCCCCCGCCGTCCCTGGCGCCCTCCTGCAGCGCCCCCTCTTTCTCCCCCGCAGCCTCCCAGTGCGTTCCCGACCCCTCTCCCGCCGTCTCTGCAGCTCCCGCTCCTTGCCCTGCCCAGTCTCATTTTATCCCGGGCGCAGATGAGCCTTGGGCGACCTGGTGCGGGGACACGGCGGGCCCTCTGTCCGCGTTAGGGTTTTGGGTTGTTTTCTTCATCTCTCTGTTCTTTCCTTGCTCCTGTTTAAAAAAATTTTTTTGTAAATGTTGACCTGTGCTGCCTCGCCACCCCTGCTTTTGTCCTCTGAGTCCCCCTCCCCTGGAATCCTTGGAGAGGGAGCAGGTGCTGGGATCCCTCCCCCTGCTCTCCCTCCCCTCACCCCCCTCGGGCTGCCTGGGGTTTCACCCGGAGCCTCCTGACCACTCCCGGAGGCTGCCGGGGAGGCAGGGGGCGGAGACCGAGGCAGGGCCGCGGAGCGGGTGGAGGGCGGGACCTCCGGCTGGCGGGAAGCTTTGACTTTTCCTCCTTGAGGGCTAGAGGTGAAGCCGCTCCCCAGCGTGCTAAGCCTTTAGGGTGATCCTGGCTGCCAGTCAGCCTTTCCTGGGCCCGTAGAGTTGTGTGTGTGGAGGGTGTCTCTGTGCACATGGCCAGGGTGTCCGAGTGTGTGTGAGTGCCTGGGTGTGCCTTGTGCCGTGTGCACGTGGGGGTTGTGTGTTTGGGGGGCTGTAGTCTGCGGTGCAGGAGAGGGGACAGAGACGCTAAGGTGATGACTGACATCACTCCGGGTTTCCCCACTCTCAGAAGTACTTGCTGGGTTCCATCTTTGCCAACAGCCTGGCAAAGTCAGCACTGCTTTTCTCCCCATTTTGCAGATGAGATCCTGGGGCTCGCTGGCATCCCCCACCACTTCTGAGTAGCGCAGGAGTGGAGTCGGCACCAAGACAGGCTCCCCACGCCCACCTTGCCCTCACCTGCCCCTGCTCTCTGCCAGAGGCAGCATGGTCCGAGGGGCACCATGGGGCCCGACAGAGTGACAGCACGAGAACTGTGTGAGAACGACGACCTGGCCACCAGCCTGGTCCTAGACCCCTACCTCGGTTTCCGCACCCATAAGATGAATGTCAGGTGAGGCGGCCTGGGGGCGAGGGTGGGCCTGAGGGGTCAGGACCCCTCCCCTTGTACCACGGCCATCCCTCAGCCCGCTTCTCAGCCTGCTCCTCCCCTCAGCTCCAAGTGGGGGTTGGGGCCGGGGCCCAGAAAGGCCCTGGGACCCAGGCATGCCCTCTCCCCCAGCCCTGTGCCCCCCCTGCGGCGACAGCACCACCTGCGCTCAGCGCTGGAAGCTTTCCTGAGGCAGCGGGACCTGGAGGCTGCGTACCGGGCCCTGACGCTGGGAGGCTGGATGACCCACTACTTCCAGAGCCGGGGCCCGCGGCAGGAGGCTGCCCTCAAGACCCACGTGAGGGAGCCCTCCCCTCCCCCGCCCTCGCCGCGTGTCCTTCCCGCTCACCCGGCCTGGCCCCACCTGGCAGATGCTCTAGAGCCCCTCAGGGCAGCCCCTGGGGCCCCCTGACTTCCTAGCCCTTGGGACCATCTGAGGCAAGGCTCAGAGAATCCTAGGAGAGGAGAGTTGGGGGGCCCCTCTGAGATGGAGTCCAACCTCTTCGTTTGACAGATAAGGAAACTGAGGCCCCCAGAGGGGACGTGAGGCCCCTGAGACCACACAGTGAGTCAGTGGCAGAGCAGGCCTAGAGTCCTGGAGAGAGAGGGCAGAAGATGCCCCTGCCCCGCCTCCTCACCCCCACCCTCACCCTCACCAGGTCTATCGCTACCTCCGAGCCTTCCTGCCGGAAAGTGGCTTCACCATCCTGCCCTGCACGCGCTACTCCATGGAGACCAACGGGGCCAAGATAGTGTCCACTCGTGCTTGGTAAGAGGGCAGGACGTCCTCTGGGTCTCCTCGGGGGGATAAGAGAGCCCCGTTCATAGACAGGCCAGCCAGGGAGAAGAGAGGTGCCTGGTCCTCTGGGCATCGTAGGAGGGTGTCGGGGCTAATCCCACAAGACCTTTGTGGCTACCCTGGTGCTGCTGAGCAGGAAACCCCAGATGTGACCCCAGGGTTCCTGGGGCTTCCAGGAAAGAAGTAGGCTTCTGTTCAGGCTGTCCTTACCTCGTCGTGACCGGAGCCCCCACCATGTGTTAGAAACCCCTGAGTGCGGTGAGGAGACCCTGCCCCTGCAGGGTTCACAGTCCGGTGAGGAGGTGGGCTGCAGACAAGTCAGCATGCAGCTGCTGGTCCCAGCTGGTCCCAGCTCATTCCGGAGGTGCTGGGAATGAGAGTGGCTCCCACGGCGAGGCTGCCACTGAGGGGAAGCACCGGGCTGAGTGTCTGGTGGGGCGTGCAGAAGGAGGTCTTGGCAGGAGGCAGTTGGGGCAGGAGGTGCCGTGAGAGCGAAGGGAGGGGATGGGGCTGTACCTGCTGTGTCTGTGCTATCCTGAAGGCTTTCAGCCGAAGGGTCCTGTGAGGCTGTGGGCTGGAACAGGGAAGCTGACCCAGGCGGGAGGGAAAGAGAAAGATGGAAGAAGAATCAGTCAGCAGCAAACAGCACACGGGAGCCCCTGCTTCCCGGGTGCCTCTGAGCCCCAGTTCCCGCCCCCCCGCCATGCATTGCTCACAGCCCTGCCCCCTGGCCTCTCGGCAGGAAGAAGAATGAGAAGCTGGAGCTGCTGGTGGGCTGCATCGCAGAGCTGCGGGAGGCAGACGAGGGGCTGCTGAGGGCCGGCGAGAACGACTTCAGCATCATGTACTCTACCCGAAAGCGGAGTGCTCAGCTGTGGCTGGGCCCTGCCGCCTTCATCAACCATGGTGAGGGGCAGGACGGGTGGGGCCAGGTGGGGCTGGAGGGGTGTCGTGGGAGGGCTCTGTGACTGGGCCGCGGAGCTCACCCACCTCTCTTCTCTCTCTTGCCCTGACCGGATCCAGACTGCAAACCCAACTGCAAGGTGAGACCCTGGGACTCGGGAGGAGTGGGCCTTCGGGAAGGATGGTACCTGCAGCCCAGGGCAGGGGGCTTCTGGTCAGTCAAGAGCGAAACGCTGTCCCATATCCCTGTGGCTTCCCACCGACCCTGGAAGGGGCAGAACGGGTGTTTGGTCACAAGGCTGCTGCAAAGGAGGAAGGGGCTCCAGCTTGGCCACTGCTGCCTGGCTTTTTTGTGCAGTCGAACTGGAACCCTGGCTGCCGGCTGCTGGCCATCTTTCTTCTCTGAAAACCAAGCTGGGAGCTGTGCCAGTTTGAGCAGGGAGTGTGGGGACAGGGAGGCAGGGCCCTGTGCTAGGGGCCCCCGGCCTTGCAGGGAACAACGCAGGCCACTGTGGTGGCAAGAGCAGGGAGGCCAGAGAGCCCTGGACTCAGGATGGTGTCTGTCCTGTGGCTGGGAAGTGGAGGGAGGGAGGAGGGTCGGCTCCAGGAAGGCATTGAGGGGCACCCTCTGGAGCGCAGACGTCGGTGGGGCACCCGGGGAGGCACGACAAGAGAATCCAGGTCTTTGGCTCCAAAGTCAGAACTGAGGTGGGGCCCTGGCTATGCCGCCCTGGCTGCCCTGGCCATAGATGGGGCTGCTGAGGATCTGCCCAGGGGCTCTGCAGGCTGCGCAAGTGTGCCGGAGGGTTTTGGACAGCGAAGTCTGGGCCCGGTCTGGCACCACCCACAGACACTGTGGGGATGGAGTCAAAAGGCAGCCCTCAGAGACGCTCCGCAGGGCGAGTTGCACCAGTTACCTTAGCACAGGAGAGGGCAGCCAGCTTGACAGCGATCCGGATCCATCTGGCTTCACAGAAGCGATGCCATGCTGGGCACTGATGGAGAAGCAGCAGAATTTCCCTGGGAAAAATTGGGGGCAAAGGAGGGCATCTAGCAGGACATGGCACACCAGAGGGCTGGGGGTGCCCAGTGACGGCTTTGGTTGGGCAGCAAGGCCTTGTGGCCTGGGCCAGGGTGCCACATACTCCCCCCAGGGTGTATAATGGGAGGCTTGGTTTTTAGATCACCCTGGAGGCCCAGGTGCAGGAGGCTTGGCAGGAAGGGGAGAGGCTGGAGGCAGGGTGGCCACAAACAGGTGAGGAGGGGCTAACCCCCCAGGGGTCGCAGGGATGGGAGGAAGACGAGGATGCAGGAGGTGGCACACTCAGGAGGCAATGGCTGGTTGCGCTGGGGGCCGTCAGGTAGGCAGGTGGCGAGGCCACTCCCAGGCAAGTGTCAGGCTTGAGTGGATGGGTAGGTGGACACTTGGGTGGACAGTGGTCATACCCCCTCCTAGACAGGGAACAGGGAGGGATGTGTGGCTGTGTGGGGCCCGGGAGGAGCCTGTGGAACAGCACCTGGGTGAATGATCCCAAAGGCAGGGCCAGAGCACACTTGGATTGGGCTGCGGAGTGGAGGCATAATGGGAGGTGGCCTTGCAGGCAGAGGCCGGGCCTCGGCGGGGAGCAGGCAGCTGAGGAGGGGAGGGGATTGGGTGTGGCAGAGGAGGCGGGGCTTGGCTTGAGACCACAGGGGCTGGAGGGAGTGGTCACCACTGCTGGCACTGCACACTGCCAGAAGGTCAGGTTAGATCATCCTGCTGCAGGGAGGGGTGGAAAACAGCCAATGGGTGGACTGTCTAGGGGCTACAGGCAAAGGACAGGCCATGGGCAGGGCAGCCGCCTTGGAATGGCACTTTTTGGGGCTCAGCTGTTGCCCCATTCCAGGAGAGGACACTCAGGGCCCGGGTGCCTGGCCAGGCATGGGGAATGGGTCAGTCCAAGCCTGGGCCCAGGTCCTGGCACTGAGCAGGCTTGGCCCTCAGTTTGTGCCCGCAGATGGGAACGCAGCCTGCGTGAAGGTGCTCCGGGACATCGAGCCAGGGGATGAGGTGACGTGCTTCTATGGAGAGGGCTTCTTCGGTGAGAAGAATGAGCACTGTGAATGCTACACCTGTGAAAGGTGAGGGCTGGGGAGAGGCGGGGGAGTGGGGGGCGGTTCGGCACAGGCTGTCTGCCCCAAGCGTCTGGGGTCCTTGAGCCCGGAAATGCACCCTCGGGGCCCATCCCTGAGTGTGTCCAACCCCAGCATTGAATCTCCCCTCTACCTGGCCTCCCCTCTCCTCCACCCGGCCTCTCTTCCCTCCACCCGGCCTCCCCTCCCCTCCACCCAGCCTCCCCTCCCTCCACCCAGCCTCACCTTCCCTTCACTCGGCCTCACCTTCCCTTCACTCGGCCTCAGCTCCCGTTCACCTGGTCTCCCAGGAAAGGTGAAGGAGCTTTCCGAACGAGGCCTAGGGAGCCTGCGTTGCCACCACGGCCCCTGGACAAGTACCAGCTACGTGAGACCAAGCGGCGGCTGCAGCAAGGCCTGGACAGCAGCAGCTGCCAGGGCCTGCGGGGCCCTCGGGCCTGCGCACACCTGTCCTCACTGCGCCGGGACCCATTCTGCGGTGAGCGCCCCTCCTGGCCCGGCAGCTCCGCCCCCGTCCACTCCTGCTCAGCTGTCTCCCATCTCCTGAGCTCTGCCTGGGGTGGGCAGTTCTGCCTGCAAGCTCCTCTGGGAAGTGCGGGCCGGAGCTGCCTCGTCCTGGGGGTACCTGCTTGCGCTGACTTTGTCTCTGTGTTTCTCCTCCCTGCCACCTGGGCCTTCACAGCTGCCTGCCAGCCCCTGCGCCTGCCACCCTGCAGTGCCCGCCCAGACACCTCTCCCCTCTGGCTCCAGTGGCTGCCTCAGCCCCAGCCCCGAGTGCGGCCCCGGAAGCGCCGACGCCCCCGGCCCCGGAGGGCCCCAGTGCTGTCCACCCCCTACAATGCCCGAGTCTCGCTGCACCAATGGGGAGGCTGTGGCCCCCACTGCCGCTTAAGAGGAGAGGCCTTGGTGGCCCTGGGTCAGCCTGCCCGCACCCACTGGGGCCCCCAGCATGACTGGCACTGGGCCCAGCGCTATGGGCTGCCTTACGTGGTGCGTGTGAACCTTCACCGCCTGGCCCCAACCCCACCAGCCACCCCAGCCCCTGCTGGGACCCTAGGCCCCCCCATCCTGATCCCAAAACAAGCCCTCGCCTTCGCCCCTTTCTCCCCACCCAAGCGCCTACGGCTGGTGGTCAGCCATGGCTCCATCGACCTGGATGTCGACGGTGAAGTGCTGTGACAGATGAAGTGCTGTGACACACCGGACGGGGATGCCCAGCAGGGAGGGAGGGTCTCTCTCCTAGCCACCCCAGGACCTCCAGAAGGAGCCCTTGGGCCTTTGTGAGGGAGCTGACCCTTGACCCCAGCACAGCTCTGACCCTGGAGCAGGGTTGGTGTGGATACCCCCAGGGAGCTGACCCCTGACCCTTTGTGACTGCTGACCCCTGAGCCACCCCCACCCCCACAGGGAGCCCTGGCCATTTGCTGCCCTCCCCACCCCTGCCCTAGCCTCAGGACTGCAGGAGCCACTGACTCCCTCAGCCCCTTCCTCCCCAGAGAGCAAAGCCATAGGGGGCAGGGGCCACCCATGGCGTCTCCCCAGAAGTCCAGGCCTCAGGAGGAGGTAGAACTGACCGAGGGGTGGCACTTCCCAGAAACTGCCCCAGGAAGGGGACTGGGTTCGCTCTCAGCTCTGCAACTGTCTGCGGTAGGGGGAAGGGTGGGGGATGTCTGGAGGCACGTCCTCCTCACCACCCCCATGGGTCTCAGGGAGGCCGGGTGCGACCTCATCTTTCTATGGTGCTATCCCTGGTGCTATTGGGGTGGGGGGGGCTCCCTCCCCTTCCCCCACACCAGAAAGGGGTATGTTGGGGGATTGGAAGCACTTGAACTTTTTATTTTATTAAAACCTTGTTATAAGTAGCACTCTTGACAGTTTTCTGTTTTGGCTTATGTTTTGAAGGGATGTCAGGAGGGTGAGACCCTCAGCTGTGCTGGGGAGAGGGGAGGAGGCAACCCGGGCCTGCAGCGCTGAGAGCTGTGGGAGAGGGATTTGAGGGGTGACGGACTGCAGAGGACTGAGTCTGGAACCCTGTCACCATTCAGGCTGTGCTTGTAAAAATGCCTTTAGATCCTGAGAGGCTGAGGCGGGCAGATCACGAGGTCAGGAGATTGACATCATCTTGGCCAACATGGTGAAACCCTGTCCCTAGTAAAAAATACAAAAATTAGCCGGGCGTGGTGGTGCACGCCTGTAGTCCCAGCTACTCAGGAGGCTGAGGCAGGAGAATTGCTTGAACCCAGGAGGTGGAGGTTGCAGTGAGCCGAGATTTTGCCACTGCACTCCAGCCTAGTGCCTGGCGACAGAGCAAGACTCTGTCTCAAAAAAAAAAAAAAAAAAAAAATTAGGTTAGTTTCAGCTATTTGGGAGGCTGAGGCAGGAGACTCACTTGACCCCAGGAGGGAGAGGTTGCAGTGAGCCAAGAGTGTGCCACTGTACTCCAGCCCAGGTGACAGAGCAAGACTCAGCTATTTGGGAGGCTGAGGCAGGAGACTCACTTGACCCCAGGAGGGAGAGGTTGCAGTGAGCCAAGAGTGTGCCACTGTACTCCAGCCCAGGTGACAGAGCAAGACTCAGTCTCAAAAAAAAAAAAAAAGGCCGGGCATGGTGGCTCAAGCCTGTAATCCCAGCACTTTGGGAGGCTGAGGCAGGTGGATCATGAGGTCAAGAGATCAAGACCATCCAGGCCAACACGGTGAAACCCCGTCTCTACTAAAAATATAAAAAATTGCCGGGCGCGGTGGCTCAAGCCTGTAATCCCAGCACTTTGGGAGGCCGAGGCGGGTGGATCACGAGGTCAAGAGATCGAGACCATCCTGGTCAACATGGTGAAACCCCGTCTCTACTAAAGGTGCAAAAAATTAGCTGGGCATGGTGGCGCGTGCCTGTAATCCCAGCTACTCCGGAGGCTGAGGCAGGAGAATTGCCTGAACCCAGGAGGCGGAGGTTGCAGTGAGCCGAGATCGCGCCATTGCAGTCCAGCCTGGGTAACAAGAGCGAAACTCCGTCTCAAAAAAAAAAATAAATAAATAAATAAATAAAAAATTAGCTGGGCATGGTGGCGCGTGCCTGTAATCCCAGCTACTCAGGCGGCTGAGGCAGGAGAATTGCCTGAACCCAGGAGGCGGAGGCTGCGGTGAGCCGAGATCGCGCCATTGCACTCCAGCCTGGGTAACAAGAGCGAAACTCCGTCTCAAAAAAAAAAAAAAAAAATGCCTTCAGAGCCAGTAAGCAGTTCTCCCATTGTCCAGGTGAGGTCAACAGGGTTTAGCAAGCAGAGTAACTTGCCCAAGGCCACATGAGGACTTCAGGGCCCTTCTTGAACTTCTCAATCAGGTGTCCCCCCACACACATACCTCAATCCAAACAGAGAAGCTGGTGGGGGCCTGGCTGAGTGGGGATGTGGGGCTGCCCAGCACACCAGAGCTGGGCCTGGGGGAGGCAGCGCTGATGGGCCTTCCTGCATTGCAGCATCTTGGGCTTTGTTGTGAGACCAGGATGACGAATCTTGTTTCTTCAGGTCCAATCCGGTATCTGGATTTTGCCAGGACATCTTAACTCTCCGTGTAATCTTGTTTTGCAAAAGGAAATAACAGTGGCTGATCGCAATCCCTGTGTGGGTAACCCCCCCATATAGTCACCAAGGAATGAGAGCTAAGCAGAACTCTGGCACAGTTAGGGCTTGAGGAATATCTCACTTTATAGTGTTACTACTCAGCTATTTCCTTTTATATAATCCTTTACATAATCATATATTAGTTTATAGAAATAGGGCTTGAAGAATGCCTTTATATAATCCTCTCTCTACATAATCATATAATAGTTGATAGTATGAGTGCCTAAAGAATATTTCCCTACATATATACCTATAATTATATCTTAGTTCATAATCGGAGGAATGCCTAGAGTGGACACAGTGCAGAGCATGAATTAAGGAATAAGCAGCTTATAATAGGAGGAATGTCTGGAGCAGACACAGTGCAGAGCATAATTTAAGGGAAAACAGTTAGACCAGGACAAGAATCCATGGCCCAGGCGGCAGCGTTCAGTATCGTAAAGATACCCGCTGTATAGCAGGCTTGGGGCGAGAGCCACTCCTCCTGATAAAGGAGTTGTAGGACCTTGCTCCAGTTCCCGTGGAAGGCTGCCCTCAGACCCGCAATCCACCTTGGTGACCGTGAACTTTATCAGCTCTTGCTACTGTGCTGCTTGAAAAGCATCTTCCCATAGAACCCATTGGAAGCTGCCAGAAGGTGGCGGTAGCCTTGACAGCTCTGTCGCTGCTATGTGACTTAAAGCATCCTCCTATAAATCTTCTTAGAATTAGTTTGCCCATAGATAAAAGTATAGCACACTGTACCCTCTTCACTGTGCACGGCCCACCTTCAAGCCTCGGTGACCTAATGGGGTGGACCCCTTACTACACATGGCCCTTGCCTTTGTGGGAACGGGCCCCTTGCTGTGTACTGTCCAACTCCTGGCCTAGGTGCCCTAATGGGGGTGGACCCCATGTTTTATTGCTCACGACCCTATCACTATCCTTAAAGATGATTTCACTCACTGTCCTGCCCCCTAACCCATACACAATAAATATTCATGCTTCTGGACATTTGGGGCCTCGCCTGACTCCGCTTATAGGTGGCGTGGCCCCCTGAGCCCAGCTGCGCTTTCTTTGTACTTCTGTGTCCTGTCTCTTTATTACTCGTATTCTGCGCCTCAGCACAGCATAAGGCTCACCCCACGACCCTGTGGGGCACTCAGCCCTACATCTGGCTCCCAGCTTGCCCTCCATCCCTGGTTCCAGGTTTCGCCAGCATCTCACAGACAATTTTCTCACTGGGGCCACAGAGCCCATCTCACTTGGGCAGCTACAGGTCACCTGCTGGCTCCAGGCCCGCCGTGTGCAACTCCACATCCGCCAGCCTTGAACAAGCTTACCGTGGAGGTGGATGAGGCTAGGCTGCAGATACCAGGAAGCCCTCCTTCGCCCTGGTGGAGAGGGGACAAGCGGTGGGCAAGGGGAGGCCACAGTGAGACCCATGTGAGCACCTGAGCAGTGGGCCTGGGAGGTGGGGGCAAGGGAGCTGTTGAGAACAGGTAAAACCTTGTTTACTTTAAAACACATTTATATACGTTGGATAATATGGCCTGTACTATTTCTTTTACAGGGAGAAAATTCCTCTTTGTTACAATGCAAATCCTGCCAAACCCTGTTTTCTTTCTCATGTTAACAGTAGGGAGGGACGGAGCTCCAGGTCATCAAATGGCAGAGATATGGCTCCTGTGGCAGTCCCCAAGGATGTGTCTCTGAATGAGCCAAAGCCATGCCGTTCCTTTCTTTCTTTCTTTCTTTCTTTTTTTTTGAGACGGAGTTTCGCTCTTGTTACCCAGGCTGGAGTGCAATGGCACGATCTCGGCTCACCGCAACCTCTGCCTCCTGGGTTCAGGCAATTCTCCTGCCTCAGCCTCCTGAGTAGCTGGGATTATACGCACGCGCCACCACGCCCAGGTAATTTTTTTTGTATTTTTAGTAGAAACGGGGTTTCACCATGTTGACCAGGTTGGTCTCGATCTCTCGACCTTGTGATCCACCCGCCTCGGCCTCCCAAAGTGCTGGGATTACAGGGTTGAGCCACCGTGCCCGGCCTTCTTTTTTTCTTTTTTTTTTTTTTGAGACAGGGTCTCCCTCTGTCACTCAGGCTGGAGAGCAGTGGCGCCAGCTCGGCTCACTGCAACCTCCTCTCCTGGATTCAAGTGATTCTCCTGCGTCAGCCTCCTGAGGAGCTGGGACCATAGGCACATGCCACCACATCAAGCTAATTTTTAAATTATGTCTCACTACGTTGCTCAGGCTGGTAGTGAACTCCTGAGCTCAAGCGATCCTCCTGCCTCCACCTCCCAAAGTGCTAGGATTACAGGTGTGAGTGAGCCACTGCACCTGGCCTTTTGTTTCTGAAATTCAGGTGCTGTTGCCACAGCTGTTAGAGGACAGCAAGCAGGGATTGTTAGCTGAGGATTCATAGGCAGACACTGGAACTTCTAAGAGCCTTCTGAAATCTTGTCTAAATGTTGAGAGTACATATTCACATGCACGTTTTTTTCAGGGGATTCAGAGCATTCATCACAGTCTCACAAGTTTCTGTATCCCCCCCCAAAACCAAAAAGGGCTAAAAACGAGTGGTGTGCCACGCATGGTGGCTCAACGCCTGTAATCCCAGTACTTTGGGAGGCTGAGGCAGCTGGATCGCCTGAGGTCAGGAGTTAGAGACCAGCCTGACCAACATGGAGAAACCTCATCTCTACTAAAAATACAAAATTAGCTGGGTGTGGTGGCAAATGCCTGTAATCCCAGATACTCAAGAGGCTGAGGCAGGAGGATCGCTTGACCTGGGAGGTCGAGGTTTTGGGTGAGCCAAGATCTCGTCATTGTACTCCAGCCTGGGCAACAAGAGCGAAACTGTCTTAAAAAAAAAAAAAAAAAACTGGCCGGGCGCGGTGGCTCACAGTGTAATCCAGCACTTTGGGAGGCCGAGGTGGGTGGATCACGAGGTCAAGAGATCGAGACCATCCTGGCCAACATGGTGAAACCCCATCTCTTTTTTAAAAAAAACAAAAAACTGGCAATGGGGCTTCCCAGCCTCCGCACTGCTGCTGTGCTGAGCTGGTGTCTTCTGGGCGGGGCCTGTCCTGTGCACTGCAGCAGCTGCCGTGAATCTTCACCCACTAGATGCCAGGAGCATCCCTCCATCCCAGCCAAAAATGTCTCCAGACACTGCCTGACGTCCTCATGGGGACTAAAGTTAGACTCTGGCTTGATCTGGACATCACCGGATGGTGGAGGTGGGGAGACACCAGGACCACAGTGAAACGTTCCCTGTCCTTACAGCGTGGATGGTCAGGACAGCCTTAAAGAGCTTGGGCGCTATCAGGGTCATCTTGCCCATACAGACAGGAGCTGCCTGGACTACTGACCTCTGCTGGAGGTCCTTCAGCTATCGGGGACAGAGCCTAGCAGGCTGCCTGTGTTTCCACCTTGAAGCCTAGCTTCCATGAAGTTTGAGGCATTTGTGCTGGCACTACCCAGCTGGCAGGACTTGGGGGGCATCCTGGTGGAGCTGGGGCCTGGGGTCGTGAGTTCACCAAGGGGGCTCAAGGACAGGAAGAAACAGTGGTGGCGGGGGGGGTCCTCTGGTTGAAGCCTGGGCCTGAGAACCCTGCCGTACACATGGAGGCCAGAGCAAGAGAAACAGAAGGAACTCAGAGGCTGGTGGCTGTAGGTCGAAGTGGAATGAAGTGTTTTTGTGGTTTTTTTGTTTTGTTTTGTTTTTTTTGAGACGGAGTTTCGCTCTTGTTACCCAGGCTGGAGTGCAATGGCGCGATCTCGGCTCACCGCAACCTCCGTCTCCTGGGTTCAGGCAATTCTCCTGCCTCAGCCTCCTGAGTAGCTGGGATTACAGGCACGTGCCACCATGCCCAGCTAACGTTTTGTGTTTTTAGTAGAGACGGGGTTTCACCATGTTGACCAGGATGGTCTCGATCTCTGGACCTCGTGATCCACCCGCCTCGGCCTCCCAAAGTGCTGGGATTACAGGCTTGAACCACCGCGCCCGGCCAAGTTTTGTGTATTTTTTGAGACAGACTCTCACTCTGTTGCCCAGGGTGGAGTGCAACGGCGTGATGGCGGCTCACTGCAACCTCAGCCTCCCGGGTTCAAGCGATTCTCCTGCCTCAGCCTCCTGAGTGCTGGGATTACAGGCGAACGCCATCACTCCCAGCTGTTTTTACTTTTTAGATAGTGTTTCTCCATGTTGGTCAGGCTGGTCTTGAACTGACCTCATGGTCCGCCCACCTCAGCCTCCCAAAGTGCTGGGATTACAGGTGTGAGCCACCACACCTGGCCCTCCCACTTTTTTTTTTTTTTTTTTGAGACTGAGTTTCACTCTTGTTACCCAGGCTGGACTGCAATGGCGCGATCTCGGCTCACCGCAACCTCCGCCTCCTGGGTTCAGGCAATTCTCCTGCCTCAGCCTCCTGAGTAGCTGGGATTACAGGCACGCGCCACCATGCCCAGCTAGTTTTTTGTATTTTTAGTAGAGACGGGGTTTCACTATGTTGACCAGGATGGTCTCGATCTTTCGACCTCGTGATCCACCCGCCTCGGCCTCCCAAAGTGCTGGGATTACAGGCTTGAGCCACCGAGCCCGGCTTTTTTTTTTTTTTTGAGACTAAGTCTCACTCTGCTGCTCAGGCTGGAGTGCGGTGGCGCGATCTCGGCTCACTGTAACCTCTGCCTCCCAGTTTCAAGCCATTCTCCTGCCTCAGCCTCCCGAGTAGCTGAGATTACAGGCACCTGCCATCACGCCTGGTTAATTTTTATATTTTTAGTAGAGGCAGGGTTTCACCACATCGGCCAGGCTGGTCTCAAACTCCTGACCTCAGGTGATCTGCCCATCTCAGCCTCACGATTACAGGCGTGAACCATGGTGCTCAGCCAGAAGGAAGTTTAACGAAACAGGAAATACAACTAGAGCTGACTTGGGTGCCTGGCAGTAGAACTTCTGTCAGACTTTGGCAGGCAGGCAAGGCCCTGGCCAAGCACTCGCCACCCTGACTCCGTGTCTCCCTGTGAGGGAACTCTATGACCTTTTATTCAGCAAGCTAGTCAATCAGATGCCTCCCAGAGCTCCAGGACTGGTTTATGGGATCGCCCCTGAGCTGTCTGTCCTGCTGATCAGTTGTCTCTATGGCTAGAGACACCCCACACACAGAACAGCTGGGCCAGACCCCATTCTGCTTTCTTTTTTTTTTTTTAGACGGAGTTTCGCTCTTGTTACCCAGGCTGGAGTGCAATGGCGCGGTCTCGGCTCACCGCAACCTCCGCCTCCTGGGTTCAGGCAATTCTCCTGCCTCAGCCTCCTGAGTAGCTGGGATTACAGGCACGCGCCACCACGCCCAGCTAGTTTTTTGTATTTTTAGTAGAGACGGGGTTTCACCATGTTGACCAGGTTGGTCTCGATCTCTCGACCTCGTGATCCACCCGCCTCGGCCTCCCAAAGTGCTGGGATTACAGGCGTGAGCCACCGCGCCCGGCCCGACCCCGTTCTGCTTTCTAGGTTTTCATATTGCCATCCTCCCCACAACCCTAGGAAGCAGAGGTGTCATGATTATGTCACTGTTACCAGATTTCAGATGAAAAGACCACAGTGTGGAGGGGCCAGGGAACTTGTCTCAGGCCACATGGTTAATAAGCTTCAGGTCCTAGACTGAACTCCTTCTCAGAACTGTTCCGCTCTGACACCTTCGGGATGGGAAAGAGGGAAACCCAGAGAGGTGGTGAAGCTGCAGCCCCTAGGAGCCAAGGGACAGTGAGCAGGGGAGGCAGAGCAGGCGGCCTTCAGGTCCATGATCTGGAGGCTGGGAGGACGGAGCAGGTTCTGAGGAAGAACCGCAGAGGGAGGGGAAAGTGGACGATGGAAGGATTGGAGAGACGGGGCTGGAAGAGGAGGAGGTGAAAGAAGAGGACAGGAGAGGGAAGCAGGAGGAGGAGGAGGAGGTTGAGCAAACAAGGATGCAGTTATTCTGGGGCGGGGACGGGAATAAGTGGAGTGGCCTTGGTTTTCTCTGAGCTGGGAGGCTGCTGAGACTGGAAGGCTGGCATTGGGGGGTCTCAGGAGGCGGCTACTGGACACCAGGGAAAGCCAGTCGAAGCACCTGGAGGAGGCGTTTGGAGTTGGCACAAGGGATGATCCATCAGGCTGGAGTCCAGATCTGGCCCTGCCCATGGCTCAGGCATCAGTGGGGCAGTGGCGGCTGCAGAGGAGGTGGGAAGTGTGAGAATGTGCTGAGGTGAGGTCTGGAAGCAGTGAACTGAGGATGCGGGGGAGGATCAGGAAGGAGGAAGGAGGAAGGCTGCCCAACAGGGCAAAAATGGGTTTTAGACACTGGGTTCTGGGGAGGTCAGGAGGCTGTTGGGGCTTGCATGGGCGTGGGGCCCTGTGCCCAGGACGTTACCTGGGTGACCTCACCAGGTTAGCTCCATTCTGTGACTCAGAGAGGGGTCCTGGCCCTGTGGTTCTGCCAGCGTTTGTTCCTGCAGCTGTGCTGCTTCTGTGCAGGCGTCCAAGGCTCTGGGGATGTTGCATGTACAGGAAGCCTTCCGGGAGCTGAGTCCACACCCTGTGCCCCCACCCCATTCTCAGGTTGTGGTCAGAGACAGAGCCAGGAGGCCAAGATCTCAGAGTTGGTATCATCCTGAGGGATGGCTCGTCTAGGGTGTGCCCTGGGCAGTGTGGAGGGCAGGTGATAGGTCATGATGGGGCAGAAAGCAAGATGGAGTCCTCTGAGCTCACCCAGCCCCGCCTCTCCTGGTAATGGGTCCCTGAGCCATCTTGGTTTGCCTTGGGGAACCTGGGTTCACATAGGTCAAGAAGCTTGTCTAGAGTCACCCTCCAAGTTGTCATGATTAGTTGTTCCATCTGGGTTGAACATGGCCTCATAGGGACACTTCAGGTGGAGGTTGGGGCTTCCCCATCCTAAGAACCCCTCTGGGAGGCTGACAGCTCAGGGAGCACCAGCTGGGAAAACCAGCACCCCAAGCTGACTGGTCTCACGGCTCCCTATGTAGAACCAGGCTAGAACCTTAGGGCCCCGGTAAGGGTCACTCCTTGGCCTGGGGAGAGGCAACACTTCAAAGGGCACCTGGAACCAGAATGCGGTTCCGTGTTACTGATGGGATAGGGGAGGAGTGAAGAATGATTCCAAGGGGGCTCTGATTCCCTAGGTGCCAGCAGGCTAGCGGGGGTCACGGAAGAACCTGCAGTGATGTGTGTGGTGGGCGACTGACAGCGGCTTCTGCAGGGTGGGGGTGTGGAGCTAGCCCAGTGCATTGGAGAACTGAGCAGGCTGCTGCTGCTGGCTGTGGGTGTGGGTGTCGAAAGGGTGGACACCAGGGGACCCTGTTGGCAATAAGCCGGCTGACATGATGGGGACCTCAATGTTCTAGGAGGGAAAACGAGCCAGGTGGGGAGTGCAGTCATGATGGAGAGTAGAGAGGGAGGGATGGAGTCAGTGCTAGGTAGTTCAAAGAAGAGCCCTCAGGACCTGAGATGGGATGGATCAAGGTTGGGATGGGGAAGGAGCCTGGGGAGATGGTCCAGGCATGAGGGGAGTGGGGGAAAGGCTCGGGTGAGAGGTAGGTGTGGGGCGTGGGCACTGACAGGCAGGAGAAACTTGGAACCATCTGAGTGGAACACTGTTGAGAACTGGAGACCCTGGGCTGGTAGGTAGCTGTCAACACGAGGCATCTACAGAGGGGGGATGGGAGGTCATCGGCTTCCTACCTTAGGGACCTGACTGCCGTCTCTACCTGATGGAGCAGCAGTCCTCCTGCCGCCCCTTAACAGAAAAAGCAGTGTCATCCCAGACACAGCCACAGGGAGGATCCCCCACCACCACCAAAACGCATCGCTGGCTGGGCATTAAGAAGAAACATCAGCAACAACATAACATTATTCGTGGCTTCAAGACTGGGACGTGGGGGTGGATAACCGAGGCACGGGCTCCGCGAGACAAGAAAATGCAGGGTCACTGCGTCTTCGGAGGAAGCCGCGCTCGGGCAGTCAGATTTTGCCAGCGAAAGTCCCATCCTTAATCTGCTCGTTCCAGTTCTGGACCTGGGAAGCAGGAAGGCGGGGAGCGGGACGCCGGCTCAGCCTCGGCCAAGCCCTCCCCATGCCTGGCCCGGCCCTCCCCCGCCGTCGACTCACCCAGCTGGTGGGGCACAGCGAGTTGTACACGCGGAAATAGTACTCGCAGGGCTCGCTGTTCTTCCCGCGGCGGCTCATGGTCTTGACGCAGCGCTGGTAGTCTGTGGAGGGCGGGGTCACGCCGCAAGCCACGCCCACCCAAGGACAGGCCCCTCCCCTCCACGGCTTGCTCCCTCTCAGTTCTTCCCTGCTTTGCCCCGCCTACCTCTCCCCTCGAGGTCTCCGACCCCTACTCCCACCCAGCCAGGCCCCGCTACCTCCGTCACACTGCCCCTTCTGGCCCGGCTGTGCTCCTACCTACCTCGCCCCGCTCCTTCAAGACTCGGCCCCACACCTTCCAGATCAGTCCTCGCCCCTACCAACCTCGCCGCGCCCCTCTGGGCTCAGTCCCGCCTTCTCCCGTCCAGGCCCCACCCCCTACCACCTCGCCCCGCCCCTCCCGGCGCAGCCCCTATTTTTTTCCCCGCCGCTACCAACCTCGCTCTGCCCGTCCCGACTCACCCACCCCCTACTTTTCTCGGCCATGCCCCACTGCTACCAACCTCGCCCCGCCCTTCCCGTCTCAGTACAGTACCGTCTTCTCCAAGCAAGGCCCCGCCCCGACCAACCTCGCCCCGCCCCTCCCCTCCCGGCCAGGCCCCTCCCCTTCCCGGCCAGGCCCCGCCCCTCCCGGCCAGGCCCCGCCCCTCCCGGCGCAGCCCCTACTTTTTCCCGCCGTGCCCCGCCGCTACCAACCTCGCCCCGCCCCCCAGCCTCAGTCCCGCCTTCTCCCGGCCAGGCCCCGCCCCCACCTCAGTCCCGCTTTCTCCGGCCAGGCCCCGCCCCCACCAACCCACACCCTCCCTGCCTCCCACCCTAACGGTCTCCGCGGGGCTTCGGGTGGGGCTGCCCCTCCCTGCCTTCCCTCATCACAACCTGCTCCCCTAACCTGGCCGACCAGGTCTCACCCAGGAAGTTCTGGTAGCAGTTACGGGTCTGGTTCTGGTTGGGGAAGCGCGGGTCGAAGGGCGGCGTCCACCATTTCTTTCTGGGGGGCTTCTTGGTATCCAACATCCACGGAGGAGGCAACTCCTGCGGGACGGGACGGGGACTCTGTGGGGCCGAGGGGGCGCCCCCGCTCCGACCCGTACCCCGATCCTGACCCCCGCCCCTCCACCCCACCCGTGGGGCCCTCAGCAGCCTTGATCCTCACCAGCTTGGCCACCGGATCGGCTGTGCGGTGGTGCCCGGGTGCCGCTGGCTTCTGAGTCCGCGGGGTACAGTCCCACGCGGCTCAAGTGAAACGCACCCCGCGGCCGCATTGGCTAGGACCCCCGAGCCCCAGCCAATGGGAGCCGTCGTGCTCCGCAGGCCCGGTAAGGGCGCCCCCACCCCACCCCTCGCAGCCCCAACGTCCCCTCAGGGACCCGCGCGCACACAGGCACCGAGGTGCGACCCGCTGAGTCTGAGACTCAAGCTTTAATCTCTGCGAAGTTGGGTGGTTCCATGGGCTCGCCCCCGCCCCCGCCAATATATAAATGCGTAGCGATAGTTCTGGTCTCTGTATGACAGGGCGAATCCCCCAATGGCCTTTCAACATTCCGCTTCTTGCAGTCGGGGGCGCACAGCACCCTGGGGGCCTGTGGGGTTAGAGGAATGAGCTGCGGTGGGGTCTGGGCTCCTGGGACATCCGCCTCCCCCTCGCCCCCAGGTCTAAGGCAGGTCTCAGGGGGTACCTGGCCGAGCTGGGCTCCTCTGGACAGTCTCCGACTGAGGCTGAGCCCAGCATCCGGCTACTAAAAGTGCTGGGAGGGCAGGCTGCAGGGAGAAAGCAAGCCAGAGAGGGCTTTGGGGGACAGGGCAGTGAGAAGGGGTACCCAGGACTCTGAGAGCTGCAGGTGCCTGGCTTAGGGGAGTCTGCGTCTCCGAGAACGGGGCTTGCTGTGTGTTTGGTTCATTGTATCTGCCTGGGGCAGAGCCTGGCGGCAGCAAATGCACATTAAATAGAGGAGGAGGAATGAGTGAATCCTGGCTCTAGGACCAGACAAATAACTGGAATCTGGGCAGGTGGTTTCCCTTCTTGAACCCTGCTAAGCTTCTCTCCCTCCTGCCTGGTTAATATTAGGCCTGACTCAGGATTGTTCACACTGACAGCCAAATGTACCGAGGGAGAAGCCTGGCCAGGTGCAGTGGTGTACGCCTGCAATTCTAGCATTTTGGGAGGCAGAGGTGGGAGGACTGCTTGAGCCCAGGAGTTTGAGACCAGCCTGGCCAACATGGTGAAACCCCAATCTCTACTCAAAATACAAAAGTTAGCCAGGTATGGTGGCATGCACTTGTAATCCCAGCTACTTGGGAAGCTGAGGCAGGAGAGTCACTTGAATCTGGGAGGCGGAGGTTGCAGTGAGCCAAGATCATGCCATTGCACTCCAGCCTGGGCGACAGAGAGAGACTGCCTCTCAAATTAAAATAATTTTTTTCCTTTTTTTTTTTTTTTCTTTTTTTTTTTTTTTTTCTGAGACGGAGTTTCGCTCTTGTTAACCAGGCTGGAGTGCAATGGCGCGATCTCGGCTCACCGCAACCTCCGCCTCCTGGGTTCAGGCAATTCTCCTGCCTCAGCCTCCTGAGTAGCTCGGATTACAGGCATGTGCCACCATGCCCAGCTAATTTTTTGTATTTTTAGTAGAGACGGGGTTTCACCATATTGACCAGGATGGTCTCGATCTCTTGACCTCGTGATCCACCCGCCTCGGCCTCCCAAAGTGCTGGGATTACAGGCTTGAGCCACCGCGCCCGGCCAAATCACCAGCCTTTTTTTTTTAAGATGGGATTTCACCACATTGGTCAGGCTGGTCTCGAACTCCTGACCTCAGGTGATCCGCCCACCTCAGCCTCCCAAAGTGCTGGGATTACAGGCGTGAGCCTGTAATAAAATAAATAAAATAAAATAAAATAAAATAAAAAATAAAAACCTTAGCTGGGTGTTTGGAAGGTGAGGCAGGCGGATCGCTTGAGCCCAAGAAGGTTGAGGCTGCTGTGAGCCATGATAACACCACTATACTTCAGGCTAGGCAATAGAATGAGACCCTGTCTCAAAAAAAAAAAAGGCCCACTCTGTCCCCACTTCCTGCAGCAGCTACCTCCCCGTCTCTTTCCTCCTGTTACAGCAAATGCTTGTATGAAGCTGGTCTACCCCTAGCTTCCACCTCCTCACTTTGCATACACACACATGCATGAGTGTTTACAGAGGGAAAATACCCTCAGAAAAGCTCAGGGCTGTCACCATTTTATTTCAAATATTATTTGAGGCCAGGCGTGGTGGCTCATGCGGGAGGCCAACGCCAGCCTGGCTAACATGGTGAAACCCTGTCTCTACTAAAAATACAAAACTTAGCCAGGTGTGGTGGCAGACACCCGTAATCCCAGCTACTTGGGAGACTGAGGCAGGAGAATCACTTGAACCTGGGAGGCGGAGGTTGCAGTGAGCCGAAGACTGCACCACCGCACTCCAGCCTGGGCGATGAGAGCAAAACTCCATCTCAAAAACAACAAACAAACAAAGAGGTTGACAGGAGAATGCCCTAAACTCAGGAGGCGGAGGCTGTAGTGAGCCGAGATGGCATCACTACACTCCAGCGTGGGTGACAGAACAAGACTCCACCTCAACAAAAAAAAAAAAGGAGAAAAAAGAAAGCTGCAACCCGTTAGCAGTCACTCCCATTGCCCCACACCAGGCCCCTGGCCCATCAGAACTTCACCCCACACCCCCACATCACTTCCACACTGGTAAATCCAGAGGTCGGGCCCCAGGCCCCGCTCCTCCACCTGACCCCAGCATTTGACACGGATGTTCCTTCCCTCCCTCACATCTCCACGTGGTTCTGGGGATGCCCAGCCTCTGGCTGCTCTGCCTTCCCTGACTCTGGCTCCTCTTCGCCCCAACACCTCGGCCTTTTCTCTCTCTCCAATCACTCGTCAGTGAACTCCTCCAAGCTCACAGCCTGAGCTAGCCTGTCCAGGCACCAGTGACCTCACATGGCTTCCTGAGCTCCAGACTCATGTCCAGCTGCTTACCCTGCGTCTCCCCCAACACCTCAGAATCAAGATGTCCAAGAGAGATGTCCTGAGCATCTCCTGGGACCCACATCCTCCCAGCCCTCTTCAAGTCAGCCTTTCTCACATCACAAATTCCAATCCTCGAAGCAATTGATTGGTTCACTCTTCAGGCATCTCCAGAGGCCCCTGTTTCTCTCCACCGCCGTCACCCCACCTTGTGCAAGCCACTGTCGTCTCCTACCTGGGTTCCGGCGGCAGCCCTGCTAACCCCTGTTCTCCAGGTGCCCACTCCTGCCCCTCCACATCCCTGACGGAGGCAGCCTCTTCACACAGCAATCAGTCCCCACCATTCTTCTGCCCCAAACCCTCCAGCTCCCTCAGACTCAAAGCCAAAGTCCCAGGGCCGGGCGTGGTGGCTCACGCTTGTATTCCCAGCACTTTGGGAGGCTGAGGCAGGCAGATCACTTGAGGTCAGGAGTTCAAGACTAGCCTGGCCAACATGGTGAAACTCAGTCTCTACCAAAAATACAAAAATTAGCCGAGCATGGTGGCTCATGCCTATAATCCCAGGTACTCAGGAGGCTGAAGCAGGAAAATCACTTGAACCCAGGAGACAGAGGTTGCAGTGAGCCCAGATCATACCACTGCACTCTGGCCTGGGTGACAGAGTGAGACCCTGTCAAAATTTTGTAAAAAAGTGAAAGGAGGGAGAGATCACCTCTGCCTCGTAAATAGCAGGGCTCACAGTAAATGCCAGCCGCTAACCCCAGCTACCTGGGGGGAAGACTGAAGACACCCGGTTCCCCCCGTGTCTCCTCTGCCTTGGTGGTCATGCTCCTCACAGTCTCAAGTTCTAAGAGCACGGGCGAAAGAATTTCTGAAGATGACCCCACAGTGGCCAGGGGGTGCTGGGCTGGCATCGTCAGGGGCTCCTGCAACACTCTCTTGGGCTGCTGGGACGTCCTGGCCGTGGCCTCCATCTTTGGGATGGGGGTCTCCGAAAGGGGCGATGGCGGTGAGTCCTCCCACCGTGAGGCAGGCAAGGGGATGGTCGCCTGGGAGATTCCTTCCGTCTTCAGACTGGCAGAGGTGGGCCTGGAGCAAAGGGGCAGCTCGGGCAGCCCCTCGGGGTCCCAGGGTGGTTCCTTCACCTCGGCCCATTGCTGCTTCCTCTTCTTCGCCCAGGCATGTGACTCTGGCTGCTCTCTAACCACCACTGGCTTCCCCTCCAGCGAGGACAGCTGGCTGGGGTGGAAGGGCATTGAAGCCATCACAGGCGTGGCAGATGACTGCGAGAGCCAGGAGGGGAGTGAGCCCAAAGCGTGTCTGGAGCGCTGCTCTTTGGAGTTGGCCATGATCATGCGCCTGGCGAGGGTGAGCCCTTCCACAGAGAAGGGCCTGCTGTGCTCCCGGGAGGGGCCCCCGATGGCACGCTCCTTCATCTGCACCCATCCCTTCCGCTGCTCCATCTCCTTGGATCTCACAGCAGGCTGGTCCAGGGACCTCTCCTCCTTCGCCCAGTGGACTCGGTCCTCCGACTTCCTCCAGCCCCTGAAGGCCTCCAGGCTTGCCTCCTGGGTTTTGCTCACCAGGATGTCCCTGGACTCCTTCTTGGTCGTGGTGAAGGGCCACTCCAGGGATGGGACCTGAGTCATCTCCACCACACCTGTCTCCCGGGTGCCCACTACCATCGCCGGCTCAGGTTCCCGCCCGGACTTGCTGCTCTCCAGCGCAGCCCTTCCAGGAATTCCTGTTGGCACCACGTCGAAATCGCCAGGGATCTTCCCCTGTGAGGCCGGCGAGCCCACTGCCATCCGGTATCGGGTAGGTGAGGTTGGCAGAGCCTTCTGGGATGGGGCAGGGAGGACCAGAGATTTCCTCTTTGGAGCAGGGGGGGACATGGCCTTCTGGGGAATGGTAGGTACTGCGGAGGCCTTCTGAGATGAGGGTGGGACATGGTACAGCTGGGGCCTTCCGGGGAGCAGCTGATGCAGATGGGGCCTTCCACGATGGAGCAGGTACTGCGGGGGCCTTCTGAGACGGGGGTGGGGTCTTCTGGGATGGAGCAGGAACTGCTGGGGCCTTCTGAGACGGGGGTGGGGCCTTCCCAGGTGGAGCAGGTATGGCTGGGGCCTTCTGGGGAGGAGCTGATACAGCTGGGGCCTTCCACGATGAAGCAGGTGCAGCTGGGAGCTTCTGGGACTGGTCAACGAGGAATGGTGCCTTGCAAGATGTGACAGGGACAGATGGGGCCTTCTGGAAGGGTGGTGGCCCTGGCCCCTGCTGGGAGCCCATAGGCCCCGCCCTGTCCCTGCCCCTGGGGATGGAAGAGTAGAGTGTGGAGAGGCAGGCAGCTGAGGGACAGGGAGCCAGGTCGAGGGAGGCAGACGACAAGGTGCTGCTCTCAGAGCCCATGAGGTCTCCCATGTCCTGATGCCACAGGCAGGGGTCCCAGGGAGTGCAGGAGCCCAGAAAGAAGCAATCAGGGCTGTTGGCTGAGACGCAGTGGGAAGGGGCCTTCACTATGTGTCCCTGGCCTGTGGTCTCATTACACTCAGATGTACAGGCCTGTAGGTGAGTGGAGAGAGTGCATGGTCAGGGCCTGGGGAGACCCCAGACGCAAGAGGACAGAACCCATCCCTCCTCCCTCAGACTATGGAGTCCAGGCCCCCAGCCCCTCCTCCCTCAGACCCAGGAGTCCAGGCCCCAGCCCCTCCTCCCTCAGACCCAGGAGTCCAGACCCCAAGTCCCTCCACCCTCAGACCCAGGAGTCCAGGCCCCCAGACCCTCCTCCCTCAGACCCAGCGGTCCAGGCTCAGCCCCTCCTCCCTCAGATCTGGGGCCTGGGCCCCGCCCCGGGAGCCTGGCCTTTGGAGAGGACTGTGTCTGCTTGGTGGTGCTGGAAAAGACGCTGAAGATGGTCCGGATGGTGATGCTGGTCGTCTCTGGGTGGGGGAGCAGTCTGAGCCCTTTGGGGCGGGGACAAGACGACACAGCGTGGCAGGGGTAGGGTGGGCTGATCTTACCAGAAAAGCGGGTTTGGGTATGAGGTCTCTCAGGATGGGGGTCTGGGTGGGACCTGCAGGAGCAACACCGTGGATGGAGGTGGCGTCTGGACGGGGTCTCCCTCCTCCTCCCACCCACTGCAGCAAGACCCATGCCCACTTCTTTTCTGCAGGTTTCTTCTTGGCATGCTCCAGCTGCGACCAGATGAGGGGCACGGAGTCGCCCACGGCCTGAGACTTGAATCTGCGCTTGAGCGGCTGGCGCAGGGGAGGAGGGACGTTACACAGGGCAGCCCTCAGCCCGCAGCCTCCGCCCGCCCCGCCAGCTCACCTTGGCCTTCCTCTGCCTCTGAGCGGCCACCATCTTGTAAGGAAAGGTGTGCTCGGCAACCCTGGCTGGAAACAGAGGAGACATTCCGGGTCAGAGACCCCAGGGGAGGTCGCGAGGACCTGCCCCAGGAGCTCGTGGAGGGCCCTGCGGGGGGCGGGGGCGGGAAGAACCAAATGGTGCAGCTCTGTCCCCGCCTGGGGAGAACCCCACACCCTGAGGTCCTGAAGAACAGCAGGGCCTGCTCACCTGCTTGTCTGCTGACTGACTGGTCCTGCAGAGACGGGTGTCAGGAGGGGCCGGGTTTCCACATCTCCATAACCTACCCAGTCAGAGGCCTAGGCCCCTCTGCTCCCAGGAGCCAGCATTGCAGCCCCTCCTCCCTCAGACCCGGGAGTCCAGACCCCAGCCCCTCCTCCCTCAGACCCAGGAGTCCAGGCCCCAGCCCCTCCTCCCTCAGACCCAGGAGTCCAGGCCCCAGCTCCTCCTCCCTCAGACCCGGGAGTCCAGACCCCAGCCCCTCCTCCCTCAGACCCGGGAGTCCAGGCCCAGCCCCTCCTCCCTCAGACCCAGGAGTCCAGGCCCAGCTCCTCCTGCCTCAGACCCAGGAGTCCAGACCTCAGCCCCTCCTCCCTCAGACCCAGGAGCCCAGGCCCCAGCCCCTCCTCCCTCAGACCCAGGGGTCCAGGTCACCAGCCCCTCCTCCCTCAGACCCAGGAGCCCAGGCCCCAGCCCCTCCTCCCTCAGACCCCAGGAGTCCAGACCTCAGCCCCTCCTCCCTCAGACCCAGGAGCCCAGGCCCCAGCCCCTCCTCCCTCAGACCCAGGAGGCCAGGTCCCCAGCTCATCCTCCCTCAAATCGGGGTCCAGGCCCCCAGCCGTCCTCCCTCAAATCAGGGGTCCAGGTCCTCGGCCTAGACTTTGGGCTCTTGCTCCCAGTCCCCCTCTGGATCTGGCCAGTGGGTTCCTGGGCTGCCATGCCTGGTCGGTGAAGCTGGGGCCCCACCTGCAGGTGCCAGGTGGAGGCGGGCGCTTCGGCCAGGGGCACATCTGGGTGGGCCGTGCGCACGGTCCTGGGGGCCCAGGCGAAAGCCGGCTCCCGGAGCAGGTGGGTGAGGCGGATCCAGCAGTCGAACAGGAAGCCTGCCTCGTTATCCGGGGCATCCAGCGCCAGGTAGTAGTTGTGGCCTGAGACCAGGCGTAGCTTCAGGCACCAGGAGGAGAGGTCATGGACGCAGAGCTGGGTGAGGTCCAGGGGGATCATCCTGGGAGAGCAGGAGGGGAGTGTCTAGAGCAGGAGGGGTGGAGGGGGTGGCCACGGGGCTGGTGGAGGCGGCACCTGGTCAGCACGAGGCCCGAGCAGTCCCTGCCCTCAGCAGGCTGGCCGATCAGCAGGATATCGGGCACCAGCAGGCCTGGCAGGGAGGCGGCTGCGCCCATGGTCAGCCGGTTGGTTCTGTGACTCACAAACACCGGGCTCCCTCGACTCGTCACCTGGGCAGCCAGGGAGAAGGGCTGGGACCACTCCTTCCTCCAGCACCCCCAGCCTGAGCCTCCCTCCTGACTGCCCCCCACATAGGGACTGCCAAATCCCAGTGCCTTGCAAAATTCCCCCGCCCAGGCAGCCTCTCTTCCCTTCTCAGCCCCAGGGCACTGGGAGCTGGGGACCTGAACAAAGTTACTCTCGAACATGGGCATCGGACGCAGGGGCAGGTACTCGCCCTTCTGGAGGGTCTTTTGCAGCTCCCCCAGAATGGGGACCCACTTTGGGGTGCCCTGGAGCGGCTCAGGGCGCCTCCTGTTTCGAAGCCGGATCATGGTGGCTGTGGTGGATAGGTACTGGTTTAGGGACCCGGGATCCAGGCGTGCAGGCCTCCCAGCCCCAGCCCACCAGCGTTGGCCCTGGGGCTACACAGGTGCCTGGAGCTCAGCGTTGTAGAGCGAGGAGATACCCCGGGCTGGGAGACTCGGGTCTTGGCCACGGCCCTGCCAGGGTGGACAGCATGGGCCTGGGGGAGGAGCCTCCCGTGGAAGGGCTTTGTGACCTCATGGACACACAGGGGACTGTTCCAGGAACTCTCCGGGACCCTGGGCTCTCTTCTCCAGGGATGTAGCCTTCAATCTTGAGGGCTGAGACAGGTGAATCGAAATTCCGGGCCCAGGGCTGGGCACCCCCACCCCAGACCCAAGCTAGTGACAAGACAGGGCCGCTGGGAGTCTGCCTGCTGACTGTAAAGGGACGGTTATCTAAAGGGCTTGATCATCGTCCCTACTCTGCCATTGACCCTTCTCTAGGCCTGGGTAAGACCCAAATCCTTACTGAACCTGTTTTTCCAAATCTCACGTGTGTGCCTGTGGCAAGGGGTCCTCAACACCGAGTTGCAAAGAGAGCTGTGGGAACGAGCCGGACGCAGTGCGGACCCCAGGTCCGCCTCTCCCTAGCTGTGTGACTTTGAGCAACAGAGTCCCCACCCCCTGCCTGAGCCCCAGTTGCCCTTGCCTGTGAAACGGCATAGTCAAGGCTCCAGGAGAAGTGTGTCGGTGAAGAGCCCACACCGCGTGTCCAGCCCTAAGAGGCTCAATCATCTACTTTGTCCCCTCCTGAGGGCTTATTTTTGGAGGGGAGGAGGCTGATATTCTGTTATTCTAAAAATAGTGTTTATTATTTTTAAAATGTGTCATGCAAAATACACAGTCATGGCAGAAATTCTGAAAAATACAGGCAATCATAAACATTAAACGTCACCCACAATCCCACCTCTGTCCTTTGACCCAGAGACAGTCATTGTCAACATTTTGGTGTATTTCCCTTTAGGATTTTTTTGTTTGTTTGTTTGTTTGTTTTTTGAGATGGAGTCTCCCTCTGTCGCCCAGGCTGCTGAGTGCAGTGGTGCAATCTCGGCTCACCACAACCTCTGCCTCCCAGGATCAAGCGGTTCTCCTGCCTCAGTCTCCTGAGTAGCTGGGATTACAGGTGCACACCATCACATCCATCTAATTTTTTTTGTATTTTTAGTAGAGACAGGGTTCACCATGTTAGTCAGGCTGGTCTTGAACTCCTGACGTTGTGATCCACCCGCCTGGGCTCCCCAAAGTGCCGGAATTACAGGCGTGAGCCACTGCGCCCAGCCCCCTTTAGGATTTTTTTTTAAAAAAATCCATATGTAGAAAGAAAAACACAGAAGTGGACGGCACCATGCAGTGGTTTTGTAACCTGCTGTTTCATGTCAGGAGATCGCTTTTTCTTTTCTGAGACAGGGTTTTGCCAAGTCTCCCAGGCTGGTCTCGAACTCTTGGACTTAAGCGATCCACCCGCTTTGTCCTCCCAAAGGTGCTAGGACTACAGGTGTGAGCCACTGTGCCCCGCCAATGTCAGGACATCTTTCTATGTCCAAAGCTGGCCTCTCTCCCTAGCTTCCCTGAACAATAGCCCATGCTCCGGGTGACTGGCTGGAATTCCACCTGCAGATGCACCATGAGGCTTAGCCCTCACTGGTGGACGTCTAGATTGTTTCCAGTTTGCTATGGTGAACACAGCCACAATGAACCATCTTGAGCTTGCAGCTTTGTCTAACACGGGTACTGTTAATCACGATGACCTTCTAGAACCTTCCATTAAATATTTATGGAAGACCTATGGGTCAGGTGTGGTGGCGCACACCTGTAATCCCAGCACTTTAGAAAGCCGAGGCAGGAGGATCACCTGAGGTCAGGAGTTCAACCAGCCTGGCCAACGTGGTGAAACCCTGTCTCTACTAAAAATACAAAATAAAATAAAATAAATTAGCTGGGTGTGGTAGCAGATAACTGTGATCTCAGCTACTTGGGAGCCTGAGACAGGAGAATTGCTTGAACTTGGGAGGAGGAGTGTGCACTGAGCTGAAATTGCCCCACTGCATTCCAGCCTGGCCAACAGAGGCCGGGCATGGTGGCTCACCTCTGTAATCCTAACAAAAAGACCTCTGCAGTTCGGGGGCCTGGGTGAGGCTCAGACCCTGCCTCCACAGAGCTGTCGGGGTGACCAGTCGTCTCCCCTCCCCTGCCCTGCCCACCCACCTCCACCTGCCCTGCCCCAGGGACCCCAGCATCCAGTCTCAGCTCCCACCCAAATCACCCTCAAGTGGATGTGTATGACAAATTTAATTCCCTGTTCTCTGTCTCACTAAGGTTTCTCACATTTTTGTACAAAAACCCAGGCTTCCCTTCCCCTCCCCGTACCCCAACATGAAAAGTAATTGTCTAAATAAATAATATATATGCCTGCCCAGGCCTAGAAGGGGAGGAGCCAGGGCAGAAGTCTGTGGACAGACTTCTTGGAGACCCAAGAATCCGGAACCCCAGTTCCCTCCGCCTTGGGGACCCAGGAGTCTACCTGCCTCCCTTCCTCCCCAAAATAAATAAGTATAAATAAGGCACAGATGCCCCCCAGGTCTCACGGAAGGACTGTCTCTAACTAGGGGGAGATAATGGCGGGGGATTACCTGGCTGTTAGGCCCCCAGTACTGAAATAAATAAATAAATAAGATCTGGCTTTGGAAGGACGGTGGTGGCTCTAGGCCCCGGGGTCACAGCCGGGTCTTCAGCAGCAGCAGCCCCCGCACAGCCCAGTCAAGTGTCAGGTGCAGCCCCCCCAAGATGGCGTGGGCGGCTCTGATGCCCCCCCAGGCTGAGGAAGGGGGTGCCAGTGGGGGGGCCGGCGGGTCTGGGGGCGGCTGCGGCAGGGCCAGGTGGGACATCTGTGGGGAGAAGAGAGAAGGTGAGCGACAGGGACAGGGTGCAGTGGGGAGCAGGGCAGGGGCTATTTGGAGCTTCCACTGAATCGAGGTGGGGGAAGTCCAGGCTACACGTTCCCAGGGTGCCTGTGGTGCGTGGGTTGAAGTGGTTAGGCTGAGAGCTCTTCAGGGTGTGCAGTTCAGATAACTGAAGCTGGGGTCCAGATGGGCTTCGAGAGCTAAGTGTGGGGGTTGGGGTGAATCTGTAGAGTCAGGGCGGGTGTCTTGGTTCTGGGTGAGGGATAGGGCCAGGCTGTTTGCGTTGCCAGGGCTGGAATCTTAGAGCTGGGTTTTTATCATTGGTGTTGTTTTTTAAAAAATTTAAGAGACGGGGTCTTGCTATGTTGCCCCGGCTGTCTCAAACTCATGGCCTCAAGAGCTCCTTCTGCCTTGGCCTCCCACACCTTGGGATTAAGGAGTGAGCCACTGTGCCCGGCCAGAACTGGGGTTTTAGAGACAGTGTCTGGGATTTGGGGGCTCAAGTCTAGGGTTGGGGGGGCTCTGGGTTCAAGTTCAGGAAGTCATGGGTGAGGGCTGGAGTCTCAGAGCTAGAAGGTGGAATTTGAGATCCAAGGTCTAGGCCGGGCGCGGTGGCTCAAGCCTGTAATCCCAGCACTTTGGGAGGCCGAGGTCGAGAGATCGAGACCATCCTGGTCAACATGGTGAAACCCCGTCTCTACTAAAAATACAAAAAATTAGCTGGGCATGGTGGCGCGTGCCTGTAATCCCAGCTACTCAGGAGGCTGAGGCAGGAGAATTGCCTGAACCCAGGGGGCGGAGGTTGCGGTGAGCCGAGATCGCGCCATTGCACTCCAGCCTGGGTAACAAGAGCGAAACTCCGTCTCGAAAAAAAAAAAAAAAAAAAAAGAAAGAAAGAAAAAAGAGATCCAAGGTCTTTGGGGTTGGGAAGCAGGGTTTGAAGTCCCCTGGTCTCAGGGCCTTGTGCCTGGCTTTGGAAGTGAGGGGCTTGGGGTCGCAGAGGCACAGGCTCAGGATCTGAGGCCTCAGGGTTTTGGATCTTGGGCGTGAGACACAGGGCCTCAGGGCTCCGGTCTGTGTCCTCGAGGTCTTGGGTTGCAGAGCCAGGCTCCCAAGGCTGGCTTTGGGTCAGGGTCTTGTGTCTTAGGGTCTGCATCTGGGGTCTTTAAGGTGTCAGGATCGAAGGGTTGGAGCCTGGGTCTCAGGGTCTGGAGGCCCATGATTTTCTTTTTTGTTGTTGTTAGTTTTTTGGTTTCTTTTGAGACAGAGTTTCACTCTTGTTGCCCAGGCTGAAGTGCAATGGCGTGATCTCAGCTCACTGCAACTTCCACCTCCCAGGTTCAAGCGATTCTCCTGCCTCAGCCTCTGGAGTAGCTGGGATTACAGGTGCCCACCACCACGCCCAGCTAATTTTGTATTTTTAGTAGAGATGGGGTTTTGACATGTTGGCCCGGCTGGTCTCGAACTCTTGACCTCAGGCGAAGCACCCGCCTCCGTCTCCCAAAGTGCTGGGATTACAGGCGTGAGCCACAGCGCCTGGCCAGGTCCATGGTTTTCAATGTCATGGGGCCAGGGTCTCCAAGTCTTGAGGTGAGGATTTGAATTCTCAACTCTTTGGGCTTCAGGGTGGGGTACTGGGTCTTAGGGACTGGGATTTGGGGACTTTGAGGTCATGGACGATGGAGTCTCAGGGTCTTAGGGTGAGGATTTGGATGTCTGGGCAGGATTTGGGCTCTAGGGCCTCAAGGTCTCAGGGCACAGGGTCTTGCGGATGCAGGGTCAGGATCTCAGAGCAGGGGTGCTGCATTTAGGTCTGGGGTCTCAGGCTTCAAGGACTCAGGCCACAGGTTCTCGGCACCAGGGCTTGGGGTCTGGGGTGTCAGGTCTTGGAGCCAGGACATACCAGGAGCTGCAGCCGGCGCAGCAGCCGGTCCAGCCGGGCCTGCAGGGTGCCCAGCTCGGGCTCCAGGGTCTTCAGGGAGGAGCCGCCTGCCCGGCGCAGCCACTGCACGTGCCGCAGGTAGGACAGCAGGTCTGCCCGTAGCCTTGTCAGCACGCCCGGGAGCTGGGGACAGACAACGCTGGCCGTGACCGCCTGACCGCCGTGGCCCTGTCATCCTGCCCCCTTCATCGCCTCGGCCTCACCCACTCCCACCCTTACCTGCAGAGCTCCCAGCGCCCCCGCACTCATGGCCAGGGTGGGCAGGGAATCCAGGTTGTGGTCCCCGTCAGCTGGGAATTTGTCCCTCTGGTGGGGAAAAAAAGCTGTGAGGGGCCCCTGCCCAGCCTCCAGGCTCCCTCCACCCCCAACACCAGGCCCCACACTTGACGCCTCCCTGACTCTGCCACCTGAGAGCCCAGAACCCCTCCAGGTGGCCGCCCACAGGCCGCTCTCAGTTCCTCTCTGCCTCTCACTCCGGGGCCGGCCCCAGCCCAGCCTCTCCTACCAGCTGTGCAGCCAGCTGCCGCGTGTCCGCCAGGAGGGAGCGGGTCAGGAGCACGGTGCTGTCCAGTTCGGCCCGAGGGTCTGGGGAAGCTCGAGGGGGGCCAGGTGGTGGCCCAGGGGCAACAGCTGTATCTGGCCACAGGCTGAGCACGACCAGGACCAGGTGGCAAACCCCTGGGGGCAGGATGAGGCAGAGAGCTCAGTTTGGACTCCGGGTCTGAGGGAGGAGGGCTGGGGCCTGGACTCCTGGGTCTGAGGGAGGAGGGCCGGGGCCTGGACTCCTGGGTCTGAGGGAGGAGGGCCGGGGTTCTGGACTCCTGGGTCTGAGGGAGGAGGGCCGGGGCCTGGACTCCTGGGTCTGAGGGAGGAGGGCCGGGGCCTGGACTCCTGGGTCTGAGGGAGGAGGGCCGGGGGTCTAGACTCTTGGGTCTGAGGGAGGAGGGCCGGGGTTCTGGACTCCTGGGTCTGAGGGAGGAGGGCTGGGGTCTGGACTCCGGGCCTTACGGAGGAGGGAGTGCAGGTCTTAAGCCCCAGGGTGGAATGCCCGCGGGCAGGTCGCAGGGCCGGGCGGGCTTCCCTCTCCCTCCCTGGCTCTGGCTGCCCCGCCCGTCGGAGCAGACGCGGCCCGGGGCGGGTAGACGGGCCGGGCGTCTCCCGTCCGCCCCCGGACGCCGGAATCTGGGCCCCGGGGCGGGGCATGGGGGGGGAGACACAGGCCAGAACCTGCCCCCTCCCCGGGCCGCGGGAGCCGGAGCTGGCTGGGAGCAGGGGAAGGAGCGGGAGGCCACGACGGAGCCCGGGAGACACGGAGCCCCCCGCAGGAGACCCTTAGCCGCGCTCCCGGGAGCCCCGCGGGGCGGGCCGCGGAAGGCCAGGCCGCAGCGCACCTGGGCGGAGAGGGGCAGAGCCCCGGCCCGGCCACCGGCGGGAGCGGGAGACCCGGCGGCGCAGGGGGCGCGGGGGGCGCGGGGGTCCGGGGCTCGCTCCCCGCGGCCCACCCCGGCCGCCCCGCCCACCCGGCCTCCCGCCAGCCAATCAGCGCCCCCCGGCCGCCGCGCCGCGCACACCCCCAGCCCGCCCCCCGGCCCCGCCAGCCGTCGGTCTGTCCGCGCGTCGGTCGGCCGTGCCGGGCTCACCCTGCTTTTCGCCCGCGCCCAGTCTCTCTCCTCCCCCGGCCGGGGTCGCCGCGCCCAGGCTTGCTCTGCTCTCCGCGGACCCTGCCTCAGTTTCTCCCCGTAGCCTCTCTGCCGGGACCCCGGGGAGTCCGCGTCGCCCGGTCCCCGCGGGCCCCCTGGGGCCTGGGCCGATGGGGACCACCCCCTCCTGGCACGGGTCCCTCCGTCCCTGCCCGGTCTCCGCGTCTCGCTCCCTCGCGGGGCCCTGTCTGGCCTTCCCTCCCGGCGCGTCTGATTGGCTGCCTCCATCCGCGCCTGTCTGTGTCTCTCCGTGCCCATCTCCTCTGGGCCTCCCGGCTCCCAATCTGCTCTCCTCCCCTTCTCTGACTCCCCGCTGCCTCTGCCCGGGTCCCTCTCCGTGCGACCTCCGCCGTGGGTCCCTCCCTCCCTGCCTCCCTGTCCCCTCCACCCACCCCATGAACCAACTTACAGTTCATGTCCCCACAGGGCCAGGGGTTCCCCAGGTCAGGGGCCAGGGAGCCGGGGGCCTTTAACCCTTCCCTGTCCGCTGCCGGGGGAGCCCCGGGGGTCAGCTGGGCCTCGGCCTGGGGAGGGGAGGCATGTGCCCGTGAGCAGCAGGGCCGCCGCAGTGAGGGAGTGTGGACGCCTGGGGGGTTATATAGGGGGCTGGGGCGGGCGGGCAGGGGGCAGGCTGCAGGGGAGGGCGGCCTGACACATCCTGACTCACCCTCCCTGCCTGCCTTTTCCATTCAGACGGAGCGGCTGCCTTGCCGGGCTCACGCCGCCACGCTCGGAGGAGGGCACGGAAGGAAAAGTTGGAAAAGTTGAAAAGGGAAAGGGGGGGTGGTCTGAGAGGGGCTGGTGAGGTCATTGGCGTCCCCTCCCTCCACCTCCACGGGCCGGAGCAGACACTCAGGCTCAGGCGCTGAGGCCCGACTGTGGGTGGGGGTCCAGCTGGACCAGGACTGGCAGAGAGGGATGGGGAGGCAGGAGAATGGAAGGGCAGAGCGAGGCCGGACGCGAGAGAGGAGAGGGGCCTGGAGAGATGGAGGCAGGAGGAAGAGAAGAAGGGACACACACAGAGTGAGGGAGAGACAGACAGAGACAGGGAGATGGAAATACGCGGAGATGGAGGCAGCCAGAGAGACACGCCGCCAGAGAAGCAGACAGGACCACAGGGCCAGCCCTGCAGACACAGGGAGACGTTCTGGGAGTCAGAGATCAGAGCGGGATGAAGACAGAGGGAGGGACTCGGGGGAGACCCAGGGAGACGCGGAGGGGAAAGGAACAGAAACACCAAGACTCAGAGAGAGGACGCAGCCACCAGAGAAAGGTACCAGGTGAGCAGAGACATGGGACAGAGAGGCCCCAGGGACAGAGATGGGGAGACAGATGTTAGAGAGACAGAGATGCTGAGATGGTGGGGACTCAGCAATGGGGGCAGAAGTAAAAGCTTTCCTCGTTTTGGTTTTTTTTTTGAGACAGAGTCTCACTCTGTTGCTCAGGCTGGGGTGCAGTGGAATGATCTCGGCTCACTACAACCTCCACCTCCTGAGTTCAAGTGATTCTCCTGCCTCAGCCTCCTGAGTAGCTGGGACTACAGGCACCCAGCACCACACCCGGCTAATTTTGTATTTTTAGTAGAGATGGGGTTTTGCCATGTTGCCCAGGTTGGTCTGCAACTCCTGAGCTCAGGTCGTCCGCCTGTCTTGGCTTCCCAAAGGGCTGGGATTACAGGTGCGAGCCACCACACCTGCCAGAAAAGCCTTTCTCAAAGGGGCAGGTGGAGACAGGAAGAAGGGAAAGAGAGGGAGACTGGGCACCTAGAGAAAGAGTTGCTGAGACACTCCATACAGGCGAGACCTCGATTCGAGACTCCTGGTCTGTGCCTCAGTTTCCTCATCTGCGAAGGGGGGGACAATGAGCACCGCCATTCCCCTAAAGCCCATGATGAGGATAAAGTGAGCTCATTCACGCTAAGCACGAAGTCAGCACTCCGTCCGTGCTAACCATCATTATTCTCCTGGTTCATTTTTATGAGCACATCGGGGACACAGAGAAAAAGATGTGGCCTTTGAGAGAACCGGGGTGATGAGGGAGAGGCAGGACCAAGATGGGGTGAAGCGGGATGGCAGGAACACTGAGACCACGAACCAGAGCCCTGGGCGCCGATGCACAGAGGTGGAGGCGGGAGAGGTGTGCACGGGGAGGGGACCCACAGGCCGGGGCGGAGGCAGCCATGCCCACCGGGGCACACAGCAGGCCAGCGCCAGGCATGGAGCAGAGGAGAGCTGGGATTCGCAACAGAGCAAGTGAGGGGCAGAGATGCCAAACCATGTCCTCAAGAGCGCCCAGACCTGTAAGGCAGGGAAGGATGGATCAGACTGAGAGCTCAGAGGTGGTGGGGGCCTCTGAGGCTCTGTGCAGACCCCCTTATGCCAGCCTCCGAGACGATGCCCAGCTGTTTGGAGGGCTCCCCCTCCCAATCCAGCACCACTGGAGGGGCAACTGCTCAGGTCCCCAAGGAGGTGAGGTCACAGCCCCCCCACAGTGGGAATGACCTCATCGCTCAGGTAAGAGCTCTTACTCCCCCTCTCTGGCCTGTCACAGCCACCCCTTTCAGGGCCCCCCAGGGCCCTCCCTGGCACTGGCTCCCGCTGGGACCCAGGCCTCTGACCACTGGGTCTCCGCCCCTCAGGGGGCCTGCTTCCGGCTGAGTCAGTGTGGGGGGCCCAAGGCTGCGTCAGTGAGGGGAGAGCTGACGTAGCCCCCCCAGACCGGCGGGGCCAGCCAAGGTGACTCAGGCCACCAGCTTGGGGGATGGACTAGCCCGAGGGGATAGGGGACTGGCCGGGGGCCAGCTGGGGAGTAAGAGCAGGGTTCTGGTAATGCCAGCCCCGTCCCCACAGGGACCAGAGCCCAGACCCCAGCCCCTCCTCCCTCAGACCCCGGAGTCCAGACCCCAGCCCCTCCTCCCTCAGTCCCAGGAGTCCAGGCCTTAATTCTAGTTGAAGAAAGGCAGCAGAGAATCTTGTGGCCCTCTACACTTTGGGGAGCATGTGTGGGGAAGGTCATGGGTCTGGGACAAGTCTGGGGTCCCGGCTGCTGCCAGTTTCCTGACTCGCCTTGGTCTGCAGCCCGGGGTTGTGGGCTCAGACTTCATCCCCGAAGTGTGGCAGCGGAGGTAGATGGGGCCGGTGCAGAGCAGCGGGGCCAGGAGTTATTGGCAATCCCTGGGTCTGCCCAGGCTAGGGCTGGACACGTTGGGTTACTCTGTGAAAACCAGAGAAGGAGAGAGAGAAAGAGACAGAGCGAGAGATGAAGATCAGCAGGGACCCAGAGGCAGGACTGGGGAATCCCAAAAGAAAATGACAGATGACAGAGACAAACAGCAGGAGAGACAGGGAGAACAAAGGCCCCGGGAGGCAGCCGGGCCAGCGGAACCCCGAGCAGGCTACAGACCAGCCTAGAAGCGCGGAAACAGACTGGGCAGCCAGGACCCAGACCCGGGGTGACCACAGACACTGGGGAGAAGCTGAGGGGACGCGGGGGATGGCCAGTGATTCCTGGCTCCTGCCAGAGCTCCGGAGGGAAGCGGAGCCGGCTGGGTGTGAGGTCAGCAGGTCCCAGGCTGTGTGTGTGTCCGTCTGTCAGTCCCTGGGGGGTCCTGTCTGGCCTCTGGGGGGTGACGGGGCAGGCTGGCCACAGAGGCAGCCCAAACCTGTCATTAGCGGTGAGGGCCGTGACGGCGTGGGCCCCCCCAGTCCCAAGCCGCGGTCCGGGGCCAGGCAGCCCCACCCCCCACCCCCTCTTTGATCCCTGAGGAATCCCGGGAATTGGGAAGTGGGTCCAGATGATGTTGACACAGGAAACGGTCAGCAGCTGCCCAACCTCAGCTCCACAACCCCTCTGACCCCCACCCCCGGCCCCCTGCAGGGCCCCCTCTAACCTGTGTCATCTCTGACGGAGGCAGCCCGGGCCCACTCAGCACCCACCAGGATGTTTACAGTAGAGATGGGTAAGACAGGGAGTCACCCCACGAGGCTTCCTGAGAAATGGGGTCTGGCTCCTGAACCATCACATTCAGGCCCCCAGCCCCTCCCCCCTCAGACCCAGGAGTCCAGACCCCCAGCCCCTCCTCCCTCAGACCCAGGAGTCTAGACCCTCAGACCCTCCTCCCTCAGACCCAGATCCAGCCCCAGCCCTTCATCCTTCAGACCCAGAAGTCTGGGATCCCCCATAGCACTCCTCCCTCAGACCAAGGAGTCTAGACCTGTCGTGGACCGTCCGGGACGGGTAGGCACGTCTGCCCGGGGGTCTCTCGACCTGCAAGAGGGTCCCAATACCTGGAAGAGGGAGTGCACCTGGAAAATTAATAAAGACAGAGAGAAAAAGCGAGGTGTCTGGAGGGCTGATAGGCTGTGCCTAAACAGCAAATTTTATTTTTCAAAGGCCGGGAATAAATACATTTTCTTGGCTTTGGTTTACGTCATAGTAAGAGGAATGTAAATGTATGCCTCACGTGGCCTATACAATAGAGAAGTCAGATATGCGATCAATGGTTGTAAAAAGTAACAAAATTTTCTACAATCACAAAGTTTGTTTGCATCCAAACATTATTCACAAAGCTTGTTTATATCCAAACATTGTTCACGAAGACTTGTTTATATCCAAACATTGTTCACAAGGCTTGTTTATATCCAAACATCATTCCTCCTGGCTGCAGGTATCTCTGGTTTGACCTTGTTTTAGAACTGAGATGTGAAAAGGTTTTTTGGTTTTGCTCATCAGAATATCTTTTTTTTTTTTTTTTTTTTGAGACGGAGTTTCGCTCTTGTTACCCAGGCTGGAGTGCAATGGCGCGATCTCGGCTCATCGCAACCTCCGCCTCCTGGGTTCAAGCAATTCTCCTGCCTCAGCCTCCCGAGTAGCTGGGATTACAGGCACGCGCCACCATGCCCAGCTACTTTTTTGTGTTTTTAGTAGAGACGGGGTTTCACCATGTTGACCAGGATGGTCTCGATCTCTCGACCTCGTGATCCACCCGCCTCGGCCTCCCAAAGTGCTGGGATTACAGGCTTGAGCCACCGCGCCCGGCCCAGAATATTTTTTAATCAGATTCTCCTTTGTCTACTCCTGACTCAACTTAACTCAACTTCCCCATTCAGGAATCTCTGAGTCAGGAATCAAAGCCATCCTTTATGGTGGCATTTTGCTTTGCAAATATGGACAGTTAAACCATTATCTAGGGTACAAGGCAGTTAGGTAAGTAAAGGTTAAAACTTATTCTTTTTTATTTTATTTTATTTTATTTTTTTATTGCATTTTAGGTTTTGGGGTACATGTGATGAACATGCAAGATTGTTGCATAGGTACACACATGGCCGTGTGGTTTGCTGCCTTCCGTTCCCTCACCTGTATCTGTCATTTCTCCCCATGCTATCTCTTCCCACCTCGCCACCCCCCGCCCCTCCCCCATTTCCCCCCAACGGACCCCAGTGTGTGATGCTCCCCTCCCTGTGTCCATGTGTTCTCATTGTTCAACACCCACCTATGAGTGAGAATATACGGTGTTTGATTTTCTGCTCTTGTGTCAGTTTGCTGAGAATGATGGTTTCCAGGTT